ATTTGCTCATCACATTTTCTACTTGCGTTAGATAATACCTTAATTAAAACTGTTATATCTCAGAAACAGAACATGAAATTTCAAAGCAAAGGTTTTTACACTTAAAACTTAAAACTAACGGATGAATTAGTTTACAAGCAAGTTATCAAGGGTGTTGGGGCAGGAAAGTCTGACTTGAGAGTTGGGTAATGGAGGAATATTGATTGCAGGGTAAGGGGATCACAGTCGTCAAAGAGGAGATCAAGCAGATGAGGCAAAAACGGTGAACGTAAAGGGGCCCGACGACAGCTTTAAAGTAGATTCGTGCAACATGCGCTTAAAGGAGTAGTTTTTCTGCATGTGTTTTCAGCCCATTGACTTTGTACATGTTTTCAAGCCACCATTACGGTAACTTTTACATCTGTGATCGTTTTAAGTTACAGGCAACAAAGACTCTCTGTACAAGAGGTATTCCAGATTGATGACGTCATGATGACGCCACCTTGTGATTTTGTAAAAATAATTTTTTAGCTGTTTTGGCTGTTTTTAGCCCATTGACTTTGTACGTTTTCAAGCCACCAGTATGGTAACTTCGCAATGCTTGATCGTTGTCAAAGTTACAGCCATCAAAGACCCTGATACAAAATTATTGTAATTGGATGACGTCACGCTGACGTCATCGTGTGACTTCCTATTGATTTTCAATAATTAATTCAGCCCATTGACTTTAAGACATCATCTTCTGATATTTTGTAATAATTTTTATTTTTCCCCATTAAACAACCTGAAATCCGAAACAGCTCTGTGGTTGTTGCTATAACAACCACTATCTCTAGTTAATTTTCCTTTTGTTTTGGTCTTCATATTATTTTGTTGTTCCATGTTAAGGTGAGGCTATTTCTTGGTCTCGTTGGATAGACGGAGTGTTTTCTAGTTTTTATTCATGTGTTAAGGAAATAATGTGGGCACCATCCTGAAGAATAATACACGTCATTGACACTGGAACCTTAGGTCCTTCGAAGTACTAGAGCACCTAGGTGTCGTTTTTAAAGCAAGTTGCACTTTAACGACCGTTTGTCTGAAAGATGATCGGGAACACGTCGTTTTTTTTCTTCGGAACTGCTGAATTATTCGTGAAAACAGTGTCATCTGCAGACTTACCGGGGAGAAGTGCGGTCTGCACTCAAAAATCATTAAGTTATTTAAAAAGGGTGATTCATCCATTTGCCATTAATATTTATCGATGCCGAAGACTAGTGTGCGAGGTGAAGTTCAGGCTTTTTCTTTCTTTTGTTAAATTTCCCTGTTACTGCACCTTGGAAGGTTGCATGCGTGCGTGAGAACGAATGATGTCAATTAACTGAAAATTTTGAAAAGTAAGCAGTCAGAAGTCGATGGTTTTGGTCTTTTCAGTATTTCTGCAGTCACAGACCTATGAACTATAGCCATTTACAGCCTGGAACAAAACCGCTGCCCATGGTTTGGATTCATCTCAAGTTTTGGACACAATATACCATCAAACAATATGAAGCAGTTTTGTTCAAGACACTTTATGTCAGATAACAACTCGCCATAACTATCGAAACGTGTTGACACCCAAAGGAGGTTTTTTTTTTATTAATGGCGGAGAAAGTCATGCTATGACGATATACACCATTTTCAGTGGTCTAAAGCACAGTTTGCTAGTATAATGTTTTTAGAGTTCACATTAAAATCACGTTGGCAATATCTGAATGGTCAGCCCATATTAGAAACTTAATTTTCATGGATGTTATCCTATAAATACTTATTTGATAGGGTGTTACGTGCTACCAAGAAAATACCTATTACAATACCATCTACGTCGCCGCCATACACGACAGCACCTGATTATTATCTAATCATTGATAGTCTCAGAAAAGCGAGTCAACCATTCACTCTGCATTTTAGCAGCCGACAAACAAACAAAAAGAGGAGACTTTACCGTAATAATGATGAACACTACGTGCTTTGATCCACATTACAGGCGCTTTATAAATACCTATGTGTTTTAATTAGTATTACCGTGCTGCTTGATCGTCGGCATTACCATTTGCTAACCGACAGCATGTAAGAACCTGAATGAATTGGTTATTCGTGGTTTGAGCATCGGGGATCTGGATGCCACAAGGTAGGTGAGCTATTTTTTCAGTAGTTCATTAGAGTTAAAAGGAAGGGGTGTATTTTACAATGTTCCCTTTAATTTCTTTGAACAAATATTTGGCCCAAATGTCTAATGACAAAACCACTTTGCAAGCGGGGGTAAAGTAACAACACATACAAAGAAACACCCCCCCAAAAACCCCAACTTAGTGGATTACGTATCCACAACCATAGATACAGCAGTGTTCAACAAAACAATTCGATTGAAATATAAAATTGTCCGGATCCTATAAGAGTGGCATTGATATCCTTTTCCGCACATTAAAATGTACACTTTCCCTCCAATTAAGGCCATGCCCATTGAAATGATTGAACATAGAATATTTTGACCTTTCATGCGATCGAACATGCCAATAAGCATGTGCGTGTGGTCTCTAAAGGGTTCTCAGCTATTTAATATAAGACATCGTCATGGTGATTACAAACACAGTTGAGATAAGAAAAAGACTGAAATTTTATAGGAGTCAAATTAGTGGTGATATTAGCTACTGAAAATAAAACAAATTCTGATCCAGCACCCCGCCCTAAAAAAAATCCCCTAATAATGATTGTCCAGATGTTGATATCGTGACGTTACGTGAAGAACAACCTTGCCACGCGTCTCTGTGCAACACGTACAACGTTCGTCTTTCTTCCTGCAGACTTGAGTCAGCAATGCCAGATTCTGAAGTTTCCGAGAGCGATTTTGAAGCCGATTCTTCGGAGGAAGCCTTAACAGCTCTGATTGGAATTGCTGTATTTTTCAGCCGTGGCGCTTTTGGTATTCCAAACTCTTCGCAGAGCGTTTTCTCGTAGTCATCTGCTGTAAAATGGTCACTGAAGATGACACTCGTCGAGGACGGCCTGCACCAGTGTGCCTTGGTCAAGCGCACTTCTGCTGTCCAAATTTTCTGTAATGCCGGGTCTTTTAGGAACCTGTTCAGGCGTACACTGTCCTTTGGTGTATCGCTGCAACGACACATTTAGTCGGCATTGTAGCTTGCTGTGGCCAAATTTAAAGGATTTTTTGGCACGATACCTCAGCAATAATTCGGTCAGTTCACCTGTAACGCCGACGTCGCCGAGTCAGTGGCCCTTGCCTTGAAGATCAGGTTCTAAGTTACATGACGTCATCGCATCATGTGATGCATTACATAATTCATTCAGAGACTTCAGTGGGGAAAGTGGAGAGCACTAAAAAAAATGCAAAAAATTGTCAAAATCAGCCAAACGACGGAAACAAACGAAAAACGGACACAGTTCTTGTTTTTGGATCGAAACAGATTTATTTAACAGTGGTCTTGAATACCAGAGAACCTTTAAAGTACAAGTCAGTCGCGGGTAACAGACTACCCTGTTGGCGGACTTATAAGGCATTGGCACGGATCCCCTTTCCCAAAATGAGATCATTGAAAAACAATACCGAATGGTTCAAAACATTGATCTGGTAAAATCGAAAAGAGGACAGTTTTTGTAGTTGTTAAAACAAACCACTAGCAGGAAAAAGGGGTTTTCATGCTGAGTTCGCATTATTTGGGAATAAGTACTGACTGACAAAGCTGAGAGAAAATAACTTATTTTTGAAAATAAGACTAAAAATATTGAGATAGGTGCAGTCTTCAGCTGCTCACTGAACAACACTTGGAATTACGCGTTTAGGCCTGTTCATACTTGGCCTGTGAAAGCGAACACAAACGCCACTTATTTTGTGACGTCCAGTCAAGTATTCGCGCTTTGAATTTGCAAAAGTTGAAGCCATTTCAACCGGACAGAAAGTTCGCTGTAAATCTTTCTTGACGTCGAATTGGCTTCGCTTTCATCTTCGCCTGACGGTTGAACGGCAAGTAACATCCTTGCACTGCGTCGTAGAGAGAAAGTTGTCCAACGCTACAAGGGCTGTTAATCCGGTTCTAGATTAGATCAGGACGAGTAATGTAGAGATCGACGGTACATGTATCAGGGGCAGGAAAGTCTGACATGAGGGTTGGGTGATGGAGATATGTCGATTGCGGGGTTAAAAAAGGATAACGATCGTCAAAGAGGAGATCAAGTAGATAAGGCAAAAACTGCAAATGTGAAGAGGCTCGACGACAGCTTTAAGCAGATTCGTTGGTATAGTCTCTTTGGAACCAAAAAAAGCGACTCTGGTAACTAAATGGTAAGGATGGCGAATCGTCAACATTTTAACCTCTGCACAACGTCCATTTTTATTGCACCAAATTGAATCAAAAGGAGAGCTCAAATTCTACCCCGTGCGCAGTTCAACCGAGCACTCGGCCGCACACATCACACACACCCACAACCATCCCAGAATATCCAGCACAGCCACCCATCCCCCAATAAGTCCCACGTCCAAACATTCCATAAACATATATTCCACAGCCTAGCGAAAATGTCATGTCTTTCCCGCACAAAATTTTTAACAATTCAATGCACGGTTCATGCACATAAGACACACGGCTTCACTGTGAATCAACAACGATAGCAACAGTCACAGAACTTGCGCATTTCGAGACAAAACTTCCTAATTTCTGTCGCTAAAAAATCGAATTATCCGTTTCCAAATCTATGACAAATTTGCACCATTGATATCTACATGTATAATAAAATGCGGATATTTACGATGGGTGGATAACAGGGGTCATTCTCTAACCCTACAGAAATAAAAGTGAGAAACAAGGGCTAATAATTCTGACAAGGTTACCTGTAAAATTCGGGAAGGCAGTGCCAAAAACCTGCGCTGAACGGCAAATACCAATTTCAGCGTACAGTTCGTGTCAAATAAAAGTAACAACAAAATTCACAAAATGTTTTGCACTCGCCAAAGACAATTTACAAACATTATTAATTATACAGTCCTAATAATTAATATATCAATTTGCTACTAAAGGACCCTGGAAAATATCGCCGGCCAAAATGGTGATTAACGAACTTCACGAACAGAAATACATTAAGATAATTCGTTTGTTTTGTGCAAAGACTCCAATTAGGTGAACACCATACGTGAAAAACGGGACTACAACTTGCCTAAAATAAGATAGACCAACAAGACAAACGGAAAGGAAAGACGCATGTAAGGAGTTGGTGCCCATTACATCAATAATGTACATTACAGTGCCATTACATCTCCCTCAATGCTCCCAGGCGTTTTGAAGTATTTTGAAGGTGCCAATATCAGCCGCATTCAACAAACAGCTGAAAAGAATTCCCGAAATTATTGAATGTCTTGGGTTGTCTTGCCGGACAAAGTTAACCCTAGCCACAAAAAAGACAATGAAAAATGATTTATCACACCCCGACACGATAAGCTGACATGAAGTAATAATGATTTTTTTCTGTGGTTTTAAAAACTAATTTTCCTGTTCAAAATAAGACTAAACGAGTTTCATCAACCTCCTCCCTCACAAAAGTGTCGATACCTATCAGCTTTGACAAAACTGTAGCTAGAATAATATATGTGTGAATCTGATCTCTCGCTGCTGCACACGATACATGCATGTGTCTTTGGGTCATTTTTCGTTTTACCTTTTTACATTTTTCTCAAATAATTCACAATGAACAATAGTCTGACTGCTTCCAAATTAGGAATCCAGTAGAATCACGCCTAGTACAACGTTAGCGGGAACGCTTGACTGATGCGACACAAGGTTGTATCAGCCAGTTACTTTGTGTTTTATCAAAACATTGACCTTTTAGTTTTCCAGGAAACCTGGTTAACTGGCACTTTACAGTAAATTTGTGGTGTTAATTTGAGAAAGAAAAACAAATTCTCAATAAAGGGCTGTTATCTGTATTTATAGATAACAAAGGTGTTAAATTGAAACTCAGGTTTCACAGTGTGATCGTATCAACTATGCCTTAGCCAACATTTAATAGCCGTTGCGCATGTAACGTTGTCGGTTATCATCTAAGAGTCATAGTGCAAGAATAAAGTGCACATTCGGTGTCCATGGCAAGGGAAAGACGTGAAGCGTGTTACTGCTGCTCACATTTTAGCTGTGAATAAATTGTGATCAATGCCAAGTCAGTATTGGTGGAACCTGACCTCTTGAGGGAGGAGCTATACATTAGCGCTTTTTTAATGCAATAGGTCCACAACTGTAAACACCAGCCTGGTAACACTTTGCTAATAGCATCAAGTAAGGGGCCTGAAAGTGTCTGGAAAGGATCTTCAGTCTGTTCTCTTGCTTGAGCCCGTGTTTCATAATTGAGGACAGACCATTCAGCAAACAGAAATGCAGTAATGGCGAAACTAGATGCTGTTTCCAAAGTTTTTGGGCTGACACTATTTTGGGGGATGACCATTTCTTCCCTTTGTCACCAGTGCAATCAACTCCAAAAGACGATGTACGCCGCGAAAAACAGCTCACTGGAAGGGTTTGCCAGTGCATGCAGTAGACCCACACGCTCTGGTGTACTCTGCGGACGGGACTGCAGCATGGATAAACGATGCAAGTCTTTTAACTTCAACGATTACAACAAAGTGTGCGAGCTGAACCGTGCCACAAGGCGAGAGTATCCCGAAGACTTCAATGCCACCCAAGGGATTGTGTACTTCGATGCAGATGAGGACACACTTTGCCACTCGCTGGGTGACACCGGTAAGTAACGGTATTAGTACTAAAGGCAATTAATACCCAGAGGTAAATCAGCTCTCTTCCAACTGCCAGGTAACCTCTAGATACAGTGGCCGCACAGGATCGTCAGTGAATCTACAACATTTATGTCCACGGCTTATTTTACCAGATACAGACGTACATCAATCATAACAGTTGTAACGGGCCATTAAGCAAGTTACTGTCTAAGCAAGAAAGTTGGTCAAGGACCAAATATAAAATTTCACTGACACTAACTTGCAAAAAGGACTTCTGCTGATTTTATGTCCATGTGTAACGTAGGAAGTACCACTCAGTTTTCATCACCATTTTGATAAAAGCCATTTTGAATGCGATGACTGCCAGGAAAAGTGCTAAGATAGTACCTTGACAAAATTTGAACACAGCATCAGTGGAAACAAGGGCAATTTTTGTTCATGATTGTCTCAGGTTTGGCATAATGAATGTGTCTGTTTGCACCGTTTTTGTTGACGGCTTTTAAAATTGTTTAGTGTTTAAAGTTGTTTAAAACCAGCCAACAGTACAGGTGAACAGGCAAGATCAGGATTGGCCGATTTTTGTTTAACCAACTTAAATGAAATGATATTTAAAATAGATTTAAATAAGCATTTTATTAATATTTTGAAAATGGCAACGGTGTCATCTACTGATTCGTAAATCGTAAGTTTTCACAAAGAGACAAATTGGCTCCAAATCATTTTTTTGTTTGGGAATTTTTTTTAGCAAAATCGACTAGGCTTTGCGATTCCTTCAATTTGATATACTCATTTTTTCCCACCAAAACTAATGAAATCAGCAAAATCACAATGATCTCTGTGGGGCAAAATTAAACTAAACTAATTTGTTTGTTTACACAAAGAGACAAATTTGTCTTCGATATGTACAACGTTGGCAAAAAGGGCAAACTACTTGCTTTGCAGTTTCACGAAGAGACAAATTTGTCTTCGATATGTACAACGTTGGCAAAAAGGGCAAACTACTTGCTTTGCAGTTTCACGAAGAGACAAATTTGACACCAGAAATGTGTACATAATGTGACAATTTTACATATGGCACGCACGATTGGAAAAATGTGTTCGATGTGGGCCATTTTCATTTTCAAGAGTCACACATATTTTAGAGTTTTTCACGAGCATACGATCGTGTTTGTTTATGAAATAAACAATTTGAATTGAGTTCTATAAATATGATATTGTAGTTTTGTATCATTTAAGACCCCCTCTTTCACGGACTATCATTGATTAAGTGAAAGGAATGCTGAATACTGGAAAAATTAGCATTTTAATTAAAAACAGAGCAACTTCAAATGTGTTTTCTTGAAATCTATAGCTTTTACTCTCCGATGAGACTTTCGTCACTTCGTGAAACTGTAACGAAATGTTTCCAAGTTTCTTTCATATGTGACCGGACGTGGGATTCTAGGCCGCCCCTGGTAGTGGGGTGGTAGGTCCATCCTCCAGTGATAGAAGATGAGGCACTCTCCCTTGACTGATTCCCCCAAAGAATTCAGTCGGAAACCGGATGTTGATTTAATTGATTGATTGATTTAATAATTACTTGTGGCTTTCATCTCATCAGCTTCTTTCGGTAAACATTTCCCTGTATGCAAAATTGTTGCATAAGTGGTTACAACCAAAGATATTTATTGTATACAAAATACAACACATTTAATACACTTATACATCTAGTGTACACAATGTTGTAAAAATGTT